AAAAAATCATCAAAAAAACACATTGGTCTTTCTTTCATCTTAATAATTAACGTAAAAATTTTGACGATTAAACTTACTATTCGTCAAGTTAAAGCCCATATTTTTTTTTTCGGCAAATTCGTGAACATCCTGATTTTAAACTTATATAAATATTTTATCTATCTATAAAATATATATAAAAGGTTGGGTTGTTTTTTTTTTTTTTGTTTTTTTTTTTTAAGTATTTTTATTTTATTATGTTGTATGTAAAAAGTAAAAGCACGCTACGTGTTACTGCTATGACTTTTTTCTGTATAGTGTTCACTGTTATTTGAAATAAATACCTACATTTAACAGTTAATATTTAGATATGTCTTTTTACTTGATCGTGTATTGAACACATTTTAAAACGATAGACGTGTCGAGGGGATTCCTGTCATTTTCCACGTCTGACAAAACAAAGCCATCGGCCTCAAAACTTCGAATTATCACGAGCCGAAGTCGAAAATACATGATTAAGGTTTATATAAAAATTTATTGCAATAAACATGTACATACACTCGACCGGCTCATGGTTGAAAACAATTTATATAAGGATCGGCCTTTTCCTCCCTTAAAAAACGTGATTTATGAATGGTTAAAAAATAATCTGACTTACTTTTTCCTTTTTTTTTTTTTTTAATTATTCAGAATTAAAATATCTATAGTTAATTTTTATTTGCCAGTTTAATTTCTGGATTGCTGGTTTAGTGAGGCACGTTACCATAGCGTCACTAACGAGGGAGGGGTCCAAAATCATCAGTTATTTTTCCGATTAAAGCTACTGGAAAATGCCTTTTGTTTTCTTTCTTCAATGGTCAGTTTCGATATAAGACTTAATCAGTTTTGATATCTTACCATTCTCTTCTTCTTTCATCTGATACCGGGTTGATTATATTCGTTATTTGTTATTTTTAACATTTAGGGGGAAAATAAAATAAAATAAAATCCAAAAGAAAAAACCTAAAAAAATTAATTTTAAACAAGTAATTGTTTCTAATGGTCTGGTCAGTTAAAAAAAAAATATTTTTATCCCACAAATTTTTATTTTGAAAATTGAAATAATGTCTATTCCTTCTTTTTTCTTTTGACCCCACACAATACTGATATCTTGTTGGATCTCTCTCTTTAATAAATAAATCCATAAGAAGCATCAGTCGTTTTTAATTTTATTTTAATAATAATAAAAAAGTTTCTCAGTATTAATCTCTCCATGTGTCAAATCAAATGGAAGCGAAATTCTCATTTGTCGTCGAAGCCCTGTCGTTGTCTTCTTCTTCAGGAAGAAGAAATCCTGATTTAATTAACTCTCCTTATGACGATTATTTGTGAAGAAACTCCCACATTGTCGGTGTCACTTTTTATTTTCATTCATCAATTCGTTGTGTACTCCCTCCCCATGTGTCTTAAAAAAAATAAAAATATCATTGTTTAATCACATAGCCAGAAAAAAAAAAAAATTGGGAACATACAAAAAAAAGGTAAGCCTTGCTAGTCTGACCCAAGGTTATCACAGAGGAGCTTCGAGTAACGTTCGAACTGCAACTACTATCCTCTTCTTGACAGAAAAAAATCGGAAAAATCCAGGTTTGGAATGGTAAAGATAAGTCTCCCAGAAAATCAAGAATAAGGAAAAACGTGCCCTCCCCCCTCACACACAAGTGTTTTTTTTCTTTTCCTCAAGTTATTTATGATCTAAATTGAAACTGTTTTTACATTTTACAAATGACAGTCGCAAAAATGTATTTGACATTATTTCATAATAATTGTCCCATGTTTTCTAAGACTTAGGCATTTTATGTCGACATTGGTATCCCATTTCTTTGCCATTAAATGTAAATGTTAATTTATTTATTCAGTTTTACTTTTGGGCAGTTGGATTTTTTTGTTTTTAATCGATTTAAACCAAACGTCTCTCCTAATTTTGTACGGAAGCCTTTGAATGATAAACTTATCTTTAAGTTTAACTTTCCTGATTTATCATTTTATTTCTTTATTCTTTACAATCCTGTCTTTCCCTTTTTTTTTTTTCTTTTTTTTTTTCGGGGACAAGGTAAGGTAGATAAACGGGAGAATGATCCCTTTTTTTTTTTTCTTCTAAAAGATTTTCTTCAAAACAATTACTACTACATTCTGGGCACATCATTAAATTCTATTAACCACGATGGGAATACCAGAAATAAGTACAGACTGAAAATCAGAGAGAGAAAAAATCTATTTTTATCCCGTTTTTTTGAAATGTCTACCCCACTGCGTGTGTGATAATGAAATTCATCAAGCGGGCACCTGGCTTTCAGATCTTTTTAGTGTTTTCTCTCGTATCACCCTTACTAACTTTTATTTCCTGTAGTAATTGACATTTCATTTTTCTCCCCCACTCTACGCATTTTAGAATCAGTTTCCTTTTCTCTTCGCTATTTTCTGACCATTTTAAATGCGTTTAATCTTTTTTTTTTTTTTTTTTTTTTTGTATTTAATTTAATTATGCTAGGGTTTATTTACCAAATGTTCTTAAATGTGAAAACTTCCTGTCACGGACTGTCGGGTTACTAAAACTACTTAAGTCTTAAATTCACGAGAGAGACCTTGTGGGCTTGGCTGAGTGGTAGAACTAAGGGTTTCACACGCCACAGTTCCTGCTGAATCATATGGTGGAAATTAAGAAGGATAGTTTGGCTTTTGTTTATAGATCTATGAGAGAAAGGAAGAAGAATAAAAAAAAAAAAATGAAAACAAAGCTGATTCTTGTTTTAAAGAGTGGTCCTGTCTGGAATGCTTTGTCACAAGTGAAGTGATTTATTTAGTTACAACAAGCTTGTTTGTTTATTTTTATGCCCTTTCATGTTTTTTAGTTTTTCTTCCGGTACAGATATTTTTTGTCTTTGTCATTTTGTGTAATAATAAAAAAAAATAATTTTCTTCGTTGTGTGCCGTGTTTTATTATAAAATTATGGACAGAAAAAAAAAGACTCTTTGTGTTTCTTTATTAAGTTCAAGACTGAAAACATGGTCCCAATTATAGTCACTTACTTAACTTTAAAGTATGAAATTAACTAAATAGCCCCTAATTAATAAACTATATTTTTCTGGAAAAAAATAAATTACCAAGTCATTTCCCTAGAACATGTTTAATAATTATTTTTGTCTACTCTATTGTTAAAAAAAAAAAAAAAAATTTTTTTTACCTTAAAAAACAATGAAAAAAATTTTTTTTTTGTCTGTGTGAAAAACAGGGTCCTGTTTATTGTTTTGAAATGTGAATTGTAAGCGAATGTGTGTAAGTTTACTTTACTAGCATCATTTTTTTTTTCTTTTCTTTTTTTACTTTATGTCCATATTGAGAGAGAGTAAAAATAATTTTGATCACGTTGCCTGTGACGTAAACACAGTTATTGATGATGTCATAATACGGAAGACTACATTCCACATGGGACCACTCTTTCAGTTAGGTACCGAAAACGTATTTTTTTTTTTTTTTTTTTATAATCATTTCATCCCAAGCAAGGCAATAAAGCCACTAAGACACAATGGATTACTGAGTGTTAGTGAATATGAGAAAGAAAAAAAAAACTATTAAGGAGCGAGAACAAAAAAGAACAGTAATTTACAAGACAAGATAACGATTGACATTGCATTTAAATTTTTGAATATCAAAGTTGACAAGAAAACCAGAATCTGAGAGTGTGTTCCACAAACAAGTATGAAAGAAGAAACTGTTAGCATAGAACTTATAGTTCCATATATCCATTTCAACTGTAAAATGATGAGACATAACTGCCAATCTAGTACTGCACTTAAATTCATAAAGTCAAGGTACCATAGAGGAAAGTTCATTGGAACAATTATCATGAAAGTATTTATAGAAAAGGCACAGGGAAATGATGTTAGGGCAATGAAAAGTGACTGAACCTGAGATGCTAGGTATGACCAATAACATTGCAGATTCTTCATTAAGAATCTCTAAATATATAGCAGAAGCCTTGGACCAGCAGCAGTATTCAGTACATGAATAAGTAATATATTTGTAAGATTTTGGTGAGATTAGTTGCTTAGTATAACGCAGTGAGCCAACTTTCCTAGCAGCAGACCTAGCAATTAATTCAATATAATCTTTCCACTTAATGTCAGTGGAAAAACACTAGCCTGAGAAAATGAAATGAGTCATTCTACTGGAGGTTAGCATCAGCCATGATGGAAGGCAGAAAGTGTTCTCTTGGATGATTAAAAGAGAGCCGTTTCATTTTGGTGGCTTTACAAGAAAATGTTCTACGAACGTTTTCAAATGTTAACAAAAATGGATCACACTATATTTTATTCTCTTATTTATTTTTGTGTTATAAAAGAAGAACAGTGCAGTAATGTATAGCAGCTCAGATTGAGGAATCAGTCAAGTTTGAATTCCAGTCAAATATATTACGTTCATTTACATGCTAATACCCTTGGGTAAGGTATGAATCCTCTTCTTCTCCCACCAGCTATTGGTAAATAGCAGGACAGACTGGGTTCTATAGCATTGGATGGCAACTGGTCTACCGCAGAAAGAAATGGCAACCTACTGCAGGAAAATATCTGCCTCATCAGTCATGTATCAAAAGATACATGATCACCTAAGTGTGTATCACGCATGACACATGACTGACTTCTATAAAAAAAAAAAAATCAACATTAATGGATCTTCTCTTTAATTTTCATTCATTTTATTTTTTATATATGTCGGAAAAACAAAATAAGTTGAAATTGTAATTTGTACTTTTGGTGACTTCAAAATAGTATTTAACTTACAGGTTAGTGAGGCTGTTCATGGCTGAGTCAATCTTAATCATATCAGATCTAGCGACGGTTTCTCCTGTAAATTAGAAAGCAGATTTGAATCCTACCAGAGGGTGCATCTTTTTCTTTAACAGATTTCTCAAATATTAAGGCTGGTAGACTAAACCTAAAAGCCATATTCAGCCCATAGTTAGGTGGGAAGAGATGGCAGCTTACAGCCATATCACATTGAAACACTGCTTCCTGTGTGATCATTGAAGTTAAGCAACGTCAAGCCTGGTCAGTACCTAGATAGGTGACAGCTTGGGAATACGAGGTGCTGTGAAACAACCATTAAAATCTTCTAGCTTACCTGCTTTCTTTCATTAATTTGTTTTTCCACTGAAACAAAGTAATGTCTCTGATATGTGTTTTGTTTTACATTGAGCATTATTTTAAGAGGAGGGTACAAATAAAAAAGACTTGAAATTTACAACTTTTTCTATTTCACTGAAATAGTCATGAAACCCTTCTATCTTCCCTTCTTTCTTTCTTTCTTTCTGAAACCAAGTAATGTCTTTTCTCCCAGTCATCAAAATGGATTGATCCTTTATTTACAAGGTATTGGCAGGGCATAGTGGTCGTGTGAACTAATGAAGAGAGGAACAAGCATAATTATAAGATTATCATTATCATAACCTGCTTTGTTAGTTGGATGAGCCAAGTTCATCTTGGTTCTTATCCTCATTTTACAGTATTGGAGGATAAGATGACAGATAAGGATCAGTGCTTATGTTGGGCACTGATAACCTCTTCAGTAGACCTAGCATAGAGATAGATACTATACTAGAAAACCAGTATGTTTCTAAAATCCCACAAGCTGACCGCTTGGAAATACCAGGTGCTGTAACTGTAATCCTGGATTTGTGGGTGGTGTGATGGATAACAACTCAGAATTGTTAATCTGGGAGCCAAGTTCTAATTCTGGTTGGGTTCGCTATATTCACTTGCATGCTAATACTCTAGGGAAAGGTATGAATCCACTTCTCCCCCCAGCTATGGATTAATTAGTAAGACTGGTATCACTAAAACATTATCACCCCCCCCCAAATAAAAAAATAATTAAATGAAATACAATAAAAATTGCATACAAAATATATAGATTTTGGCATTAAATAATCCATAGAGGTTGATATGCCACTAAACAAAAAAGAACCAAATCAAACATTTTGATTTTCACTATTTTGCTTTTCACTATTTTGCTTAAAGAGGAAGATGGATATTATCCAACTCTTTTGATTCTTAATCACCAAAGTTAAGCAATGTTGAGCCTGGTCAGTACCTAGATGAGTAACTGTTTGGTGCTGTAAGCTTGAATGTGCGGGTGATGTAATGGATATCAGCTTTGAATTGCTAATCAGAGAGCTGAATTCTAATTGAGTTCATTATATTCACTTGCGTGCAAATATGCTTGGGAAAAGTATGAATTCACCTCTTCTCTCCCCAACTATGGGTTAATTAGTAAGAATTGTATCCCTAAATCATTCTCAAAAAAAAGATTCTTATCTAAAAATATTTTCTGGTTTCAAATAACTTGCAAGAGGTTGATGAGTCATAAAAAAAGCAAATCCATCAATCAAGAGATGGAGTTGTGCCTTTCCCAAGGGTATTTGTGCAAAAGTAAATGTAACAAATTTGACTCTAATCTTATGTCAAGTCACTAACCATTCCACCATTTGTACATCCCATATCTATTGACTTGACAACATTATTAACTGTCGATGAGAATTATTCCTTGTTGTCTCTTGATGAGACATGACTTGATTCACACTATTCTGTTCTCTTAATTAACCTACCATATTTGACAAGAATATTGTGGTTCATACGCTGTTCTTTTTTTTATTAGTTGTCTTAGGAGACCTAACCTGGTATTTCACACCCCATTTATACCAAAGTCAGTCTTACTGTTCTGAAATCCTATCTTTAGAAAAGAAACGCTATTTTTTGCTTTTGTGATTATATTCTTTTCTTTCAAAATTAGTCATAAAAGACTTTTCTCTTATTAATGCTTGCTCTAATTCCTGACAATTTTTTTCTTCAGTTGTCAATATGTAACATAAACTGAATGCTAAAATTTGGTTATCTAGTTATGGTGAGTTCAATCCCTGGGCTGGGTAGTGTGTACTTGGACTTTGCAGAAACAATAGCTTATCCAGTAATTTCCAAATTTTTTTTTTTTCTCTTCGTTGCATTTTCAGAATTAAAATTTGCTCATCTTACCAAATTTTATTTAATAAAAAGTACATGTACGAAGACACCAACTCTGAGGAAAGGAAGTCCCAGTGAAAAGATGCAAGCCGCCCTTTGGCAAAGAAGGTCCAGAGAGAAGGTTAAAGGGAGATAACCCCAGATTTGAAGTTAGAACATTATCATTGATAACTCTCTCCTCCAATTTGCAAACCCTAGTTACTATATTCTTAATACTTGATATAATGCAGAAATATCACAATGATAAAATTGATCAATAATTATTTATAACTATTTATACTGGGACTCGTGCATGAAATTACAAGTAATCCATAATAATATTTAAAATTTTAAAATCGTATTTATTTTTGGCATATGAATTTTTTGAAACTGTTTCCAAATGTTTGATTGCCTTTTAATCATTCCATCTCGCTGTTTGAGATCAACTAAACTAAGCAGTACTAAAATAAGAACTAGACAAGATGTGCTTTGACATGTCCAGTGGAAAGAGAATAATCTCTTCCCTGATTTCAACACTGACCAACTTAGTCTCTGTACTAATCAACAAAATATTTCTCGTGATTTTAAAAAAAAAAAGTGTAAGTAAAATATTCAGTAATTTTTTAACTTAATTTTAGTAAATTTTAACATTCATTTAAAATTTCATTACATGTGGGCTACTGTCCCCATCTTTGTTTTTTGTCTTTTTTTTTCTTATCACAATGTTTCAGCTGATATGCCATCTGGCCTTCATCAGGTGATTGTCGATCTCTGTAATCTTCTGTGAATTTTAAACTGAACCCTTTATTTAATCTACGAAGAAGAGACTGTTCTTGTTCCATTGCCCATATCAAAGGATATCTCATCCAGTTCTTATTTCTACTTGGTTATTGCTTGTCTCGTTTTCCACTGAGTCCAAGTGCTCACAGTCTGGCTCAGGGATTGAACTCAGATATATATGTTTTTATCGAAAGTGTCTTTTTCAGACACTGACAAATAAATATGACCAAAACATAACATTAAAAAAAACAGCTACAGACGTGTTCATACGTCGATCTTGATTCTTTTTATACCCTTCTGAGTTTGAAACAAATCCAATTGTCAACTCATACGTCTGGTAGAGGTGTTAGCCACCACTTGGGTACTTCAAGGTACCTCAGTTTCTTAGTTACTATATTAAAAACAAATAAAAAAATTTGTCGGAAAATGAAACGTTTTTCCCAAAAATAATTGGTGGGGAAGAAGATAAATGTATGGTGTAGATTATGGGACAAAGGGTGTGCAGCATTATTATTATTATTATTATCATCATCATCAATCCATTCATTATTATTATTAATAATAATAGTGAACCACTTTCATTGCCTTTGTATTCCATTGATAAGATATAAATTCCAGTTGAGCAAGCAGCTGCCCATAAACAGCTGCTTTGTGGAATCAACTCCCAAGAAGATGCTCCCCTAACTGCGACAATCTTAACCTGTTCATGTCTTGGGTCAACCATTATCTTCCCCACATACACCCATAAAATGTCTCTCTTACTTGGCAAAACTCTGCCTAGAGTGGCTCTTGCACCTTGTACAGGGTGAACATCACTGTTAAAAAAGAAAAAAAATCTTTGTCCCATATTTGTTCCATTTGCATACAAATTTCCAACACAAAATGTACCAGCTATTATGGGACAGAACAAATACATTTTATTATGGTTATGATGACACAAATTCTGTCCCATAATGATTGTTACATTTACATGCACATTAGCTGCACTAAATGTATCAACTGTTATGGGATAAACAGATTTTAATATATATACAGCTCTGAATAACATTTTCTTTATTCTTATGTTGAGTAAAAAAAAGCCAAAAAAAAAGCCAGTGAGCATAGCAACCATTGCCAATGGGAACTAATCCATTTGTGGGTTACAGAAGATAACTGCTGCAGTTTTAAAAATCTCTCTTTACCAGAGTGGGGTGGAGGATACACGACTCTGTGGAGTTCTCCAAGATCTGAGATATTGGGTTTCCTCCTGATTCTCCTGGTCCACCCTGCTGCTGTCCTTACACCCCCCCACACACACCACTACATCTCACTCTATGACTATTCCAAAGGCGTCATATTACAAAAAATATCATCCCCCTCCTCTGATTCCAATCAGTTGCCATCAACAGCAATCTTTGAGCACAAAGCTGAAAAACATACCTTGTTCCTCTTCCATTTAGGAAGGACCTACTTTGAAAAATAGCCTTAAAAAAAATCTTTGCCTTAATCTGGACACTAATACCCAATCTCTAGCATGATTGAGGAAATGACTAGTCTGATACAAGGATACAGTAGAGAGGGAGATCAATAAGGATCAAAATTGATTGCATTATTAAACTGGTCTGTAACCTGCTTATAATCATAATCTAATTAGCTCACACAAATTGTATATGTGTTTTTATATATATATATATATATATATATAGTGGAGTCTCCTGTTGTATTCGCGGTATGAGGGTCAAGCAGCTCAGTACCTAGATACCAACAGCCAGACACCAGCACATATGATTTGATTATAGTGATGAATGCTTTGTGAAAAATCAACCACACTTTTTGAAGGGCCGAATACAGAGACCTGGTGCACTATGTGCCACAAGATCCCCAAATGACCCTCCGCAAGTTTTGAATTCAGAGTTGTTCTTCTCTTAAATCAGTTGCCATCCAATGCTATGGAACCTAGTCTGTCTTGCTGGAGGAAATAAAGAAGAGGATTAATACCTTTCCCAAGGGTATTAGCACGTAAATGAATGTAATGGATTCGACTGGAATATGAACTCGTCTCTGATTCCTAAATCTGAGCCATTATTGACTACTCTACCGTGTGTATGTATATATATATATATATATATATATATATATGGGGGTCTTAAGCCTTGAATAGTAATCTTCCTATGGATGGTGTTATAAGTGAATTGGATAAATACTGATAAATTGCTGACCTCCCCTAGAGTGATTGGAGCAATTGCTGGAGGTTCCGTCTACAGGATGGTGAAGGTAACATCAATCTGCTAAGTGACAAATTTTATATTTGTATTAATTATATAAAAAATGTGTGTGT